ATACATATATATATATATACAATATTATATATATATATATGTGTGTGTGTGTCTGTACATGCGTGTGTGTGTGTATATATATATATATATGCATGTGTGTATATGTATATATATATATATCATGCATCTAGTTGTTTATACTATGTATATTCATCCAACCCTGAGATGAGCCTCAGCCTCGTGAAGGAGTGCGGTTCCGGCATCCTGGTGCGTCTGTTTAGGGTTTAGGGTTCGGGGGTTTTTAGGTCGTGGGGCTTGGGGGTTTCGGTTTAGGGCTTAAGGTTTAGGGTTTAGGGTTTAGGGTTCGGGGTTTTTAGGTCGTGGGGCTTGAGGGTTTGGGTTTAGGGTTTAGGGTTTAGGGTTCGGGAATTTTAGGGCTTGGGGCTTAGGGGTCTCGCTTTAGGGCTTAAGGTTTAGGGTTTGCGGCTTCGGGGTTTGAGGGGTTTCAGGGTTCAAATTCCAAATTCCCGGACTTTACCCCAGCAAGTTTGGGAAGTAGACTATGTTTTAACGGGTCCTGACAATTAGATTTAAGCCATATATAAAGCCTAAAGACTAAACCCAATTGGTAAGGTTGGGTCAGTGTTTGCAGGGATAAGGTCTTGGTCATTTTTTGGGATCTATATAGTATGGCGTCTGAGGTTGGCGTTCTGGTATTCAGTTTGGGGTCCGTGGTTCAGGGCTTCGAGTCTTAGGGTTTAGAGTTGGGCTTCGGCGAGGGTCTACAATTGGAGTCGCAGCGCGGAGTCTGTTCTGGGAGTGCCGGACACATTCAATCAAGAAGACGGGCAAATAGACAAACAGATAGCTAGGTAGGTAGATTCGATAGCAAAGACGATTGATAGGTCGATAGGTAGGTAGACAAATAGGTAGATAGATAGACAGACAGACAGCTAGCTAGCCGGATAGATAGATACAGGAATGGTGAATAAAGACACCGATGCAGGCGTAGACATGGACATAGGTATAGATACAGCAGGTATAGAGACAGCAGGTATACATGTAGGTACAGGCTTAAACAGACATAGATAGGCAGATATGGACATAAACTAGCAACAGACATAAACCTAGATACAAGGTACAGACGGTACAGATATAGGTACGGGTTAGATAAAGAAAAAGATACAGATCTAGGCATCGATGTAGGTATACAGTATGGAGGTAGAGATGCGGAGAGGGACGGATATGCATACATGCATGCATGCATGCATGCATAGACAGACAGACAGACAGACAGACAGACAGACAGACAGACAGACAGACAGACAGAAAGATAGACAGACATACGTACATACATATATATATATATTATAACATGTAGAAGTAGACACAGACGTTGAGATGCAGGTAAAGATAGTATAGCTATGGGTACAGGTGTAGAAGCTGATACCCATGTAGATTACCCTAAACCCTAGACCCTAAACCCTTGCTGGAGATCTCAGTCCAGATCCAGATGAAGAGATAGAGATGTTGCAGCAGGGTTTAGGGTTTAGGGTTTAGGGTTTAGGGTTTAGGGTGTATATGTGGGCAGTTCAGTAAATTAGGGTCCCTTTTGTATATAAGGGTCTCTATTAGGGTACTACAAGGGTTCTATAAGGGTACTTCTCCAAATTAGGGTCCCGCTGCAGGTCCCTAAAGTATTGCGGCACCCAAATGGACCCGAAAAGTACCCGAATTTGGAGAACTACCCATCAGTGTTATCATGGCTCACGGCTTTCAGGGAAACCTTCGTCAGAACATCCTACAAAGTCGCAATTAATGCACAGGCTGCTTCGTTTGCTGTGACTGAAGGAGGTGGTACAACTGACTAAGGCAGCTACGACATAGCCGATAGTCAAAACAGCCTGGTGCGTTGGCGACGAGTGAGCCAAGCTTGCGGATGCTTGGGGTTTCTGCATCCACATTCACATTGACCCCAAAGCACATGAGCTGTTTGTGTCATTTACAAGATGTCATAACTGCGAAACAACATGCAGACCAGGACATATACTCGCTGCATGTGGCCGATCTCTGCAGGACAGAGCAGGGACCTAACAAAAAGAGAGCGAGGTTCGTGTTTCGAGTCGGCTAGGGGACAGCCTAAACCCTAAACCCGGCCCTAAACCGTAAACCTTAAACGCTAAAACCTTAAACCCTCAACTCCTGAACCCTAAACCCTAAACCCCAAACCTCAGAACCTTAAACCCTAAACCCTACAACGTAGGCCCTGCAACAGCCCGAGCCCTAAGCCCTCCTCTCCCCTAGACATCGGCTTCTCCCGAAGTGCCTGCATGAGCCTCAACCTCCAAAGCCTGGATCCCAAAACACCTGTAAGTATAGGGTGTAGGGTTTAGGGGTTTAGGGGTTTAGGGATTCAGGGGTTTGGGGGTTTAGGGGTTTAGGGGTTTAGGGTTTAGGGTTCAGGGTTTTGGCATTTGGGGCTTTAGGGGTTTACAGTAGGGGTTTGGGTTTTATGGTTTAGGGTTTAGGGGTTCAGGGTTCAGGGTTCAGGGTTTAGGGTTTAGGGCTTAGGATTTCCCCCAAACCCTTCAATCCATCTCCATATCGTAAATAATTACCCTAGACCAACCCGTATAGCAACCCTCAAGGAGCCCTTGCAGTATATATACCTCAAAGAAACCCTACAGCAATCCTTCTAAGATTCTACAACCATTAATGTAGGTAGCCATAGCCGTCATTCATAGTGATGTTTTTGTATAGCATATATCCCTTCTAGAGCCCTTACAGATCCGTATAGTATACATAAAACTTAGAGAACCCCTATAGAAATCCCTGTTGTGCAGTATACAACCCTCAATCATAATAGTTTATGTCCCTTAAATCTCCCTCATGGTATATAGCCCTATTAAAGAACCCCTGTAGCAACCTTCATAGAGACCTTTTGGCCCTCTTGCCTGCACCTCATCGGATTGGAGTGGGCTGAGTGCCTCGAGCAGAGGGAGCAAGCTTAGTTGTAGGGCTTCTGAATTTGTTTTTAGTGTGTTGATCCGCACCGTCGCAGGCACTGAACAGGGGATTAGGGTTGAGGTCGTAGGGGCTCGGCGTTGGGACTTTGTCTGAGGGTTTGGGGTGTCAAGGCTTGGTTTTTCAGACCTTTTTTGCAGGAGTCAGGTTTCGGAGGTTGGGGCAAGGGGTCTAGGACTTGCGGTGTATGGGCGGGGTTAGGGATGCTACTGCTGTTTTTCAGGCTTCTGTCTCAATAAAGCTGTCCCAAGACCCTATACCCGACTCAACATCTTTCAAGGCGGTAATGTAGGGGCCTTAGAATTGGGTATGGGGTATACTATACTATAACTATAATAAAGACCCCCCCAAAAAAAACTATTCTAATTATTAAGGCCCCTACATTACATTAAACCCTTATGGTAACCCTAACCCTTTTGAAGGAACCCCAAAAACCTATTCTAATTATCAAGGCTCCTACATTACCTAGTGTGGTGACCCTGGATCTGCTTAGAGGACTGTTCAGACTTAGACGCTTTAAGCTCGAATCTTTAGACGGCACCGCCTATCTTATAGGCTTATAGGTTTAGAAAGTTTAGGGTTTAGGGTCTATAAGGGTTTAATCATACACCCTAACCTCCAGACCCGTTACCCCAAAACTCCGAAACCCTACAAACCCCAACCCTAATCCCCCAGGTGCCTACTACAACATAGCTATATAGGGTACTAGAGCCTCTAGGCCCCTGAATAGCAGGCAGGTGCCTGGAGGGTTAGGGCAAACAGCACCCTAAACCCTAAACCCTGACCTACACCCTAGCCTAAATTCAAGGCGAACAGCCTGCCCCGTGTGCCGCAAACCGGCTGCCAGAAGCCTCTCCCCAACCTGCCGCAGATTTGGGGCCTATCGAGTCTGGGCGCCTAGTGTTAGGGTTTAGGATTAGGATTTAGGGTTTTGGGGGCGCTCTCTTGTATGTTTTGGGGGGGTCTGCAACGTGGACGGTGGAGGATGTAGATTTTACAGGGCTTGGGGAACTATCACTGCTCGTACATTGACTTCAGTTTTGTTGCTATGATGAGTGGAGCCACAGGGTGCACGCTGTGGCAAGAAATGGTAACTGCTACACAACGACGCTTCATCATTGCACTGAAGATAGCTCAAGTGAGTTACCAATATGATCTGTGAACACGAAAAGACTTCATACTCCGTTGTCGTCGCAGAAGCACTGCTAGTAGACTTCAGTAATAGTAGCTGTTGTGACTGCAGCTAGTCTTGCTGTCGCCATGCTTGCTAGCACAGAAAGGTGCTTCACAGGCTGGGGATGGCTTCCAGATGCTTTGCCTCGGCAGGGTCTGAGTGGGTTTAGGGTTTAGGGTTTAGGGTAAAGATGCTTTTTCATTTTCGGCAGAGCTGCAGTGCGTACGAGTCGACATCAGTCTCTTTGTGGTGTTCAATGCCTTAAAAGCCAAACCTGGGGTTCTAGAATCCAGCACGAAGGGCCTGAATCAGTGGAGCGTGCCGGCGTGCCGCACCAAGTACGCTGTAGCCAAAACCCCAGGTTCAAACATAAACCGTAAACCCTAAACCCAAAGCCCTACTGCACCGGAGTTCACCTGAGGAGCCCTTTAAACCAATTAGGGTCTATAGGCCTTATGGCTTCAACCGGAAACTCCGGAACCCGGGTTTTAGGGTTCAGGGTTTAGGGTCTTTCCGGGTCTAGGCAAAATGCTTCGGGAATCCCCGGCCGAATGTGGCGAATGAGAAAACAACAAGGTCAACATTATTCCGTATAGACCCTTTTCAGAAACACCTTGAGAACCCAAAGCCTACTTTTTGGTAGGGTCCCTACAAATCCCATAGTAGGGTTTCTAATAAGAACCTACAAAAAAGTTGGTTTTGGGTTCTTAAGGCAGGTACAAGAGCAACAATTACAAAACAATCAGAATACCGAGAATGACTGTAATCATTAATGTACTGTGCCAGCACAACAACCCTTCCTTCATCACCTGTCAACATGTGCACGACCCCATGTCAAATGTGTGCACATAATGTTTCAGGGGTTTTCTAGACTGCACGTGAAACGACTGGAGGGCCTGGGGGTCAGAAAAAACAATCTTAACAATCCTAACCTGTAAGGGTCCACATGACCTCATGATAAGGCATTGGGGTCATGGATAGTACGTAGTTCTTTAGGTTAGTATTTTAGGAGACTGAATTATTGTAAGGCCGTGGCGAAACCCTAAAACCCTCGATCGCTTCCATGCCTCCAACTTCCTCTGCGTCGGCCGCGCGAGCGGGAAGAGCGTATGCCCCCCCTGGGTTACTGTAGAATTCCCTACACCCTAAACCACGAAACCCTAAACCCTAAGTCAGCATTTGGGGGGAGGGTTTGGGCGTAACATCCGGGGTGTTTTATGGGGCGTCTCATGCAGGTTCTGGGAGTTTGGAGTATTGGGGCTTTATAGGGCTTAGGGGATCAGAATTGAGGAATTTAGGCTTTTGTTGGTTCCAGGGTTTTAAAGTTTACCCTAACCTTCAGGTACCTACTATATAGCTCTATAGGGTACTAGAGCCCCTAGGGCCCCATCTAGTAGATACCTGGAGGGTTCGGGTTATTCTAAGTTGGGTTTGTGGCAGGTTACAATCTTCTACAGCCTTGTGCTTATCTCAAAATCTTGGCTGTCCTCATAAACCGTAAATGCCGCAAACACCCCCACCTAAACTCGTAAAACTTCGAAACCCAGAAAAAGCGCAAACATTGAACCTCTTTAACCCTCAGACCTACAAACCCTTAACCCCAAACCCTATAAAGCATAAACCCTGAACCCCAAACCCTATAAACCATGAACCCTAAACCCTAAACCCTATAAATCATAAACCCTGAAACCTAAACCTTATAAACCATAAACCCTAAACCCAAAACCCTATGAACCATTAACCCTGAACCCTAAACACACAGCTGTATTTCATCCCGCGCCCGCTTGGAGGAACACTTTCCAGACAGATAATGACATACTGCTGATGATATACACCCTGCATTACCTTAAGGGCCCTAGACTATGGGAATTATGGTATATTCCTTATTATGGGTAACGCAGGATTTATATCATCAACCGTATTAAACCCTGCACTGCCCTACATCCTAAACCCTGGTAGAACCCATACCTGTGGCTCCAATTACCTACTGTTTTGAGGGCCATACCCAAAACTAAAGGATCATAACCTACTATTCTGTAGCGTTCGGGGTTACAGGTAGAGTACCCCTGTAGAAGCCCTCATCTTCAACAACCCGCCTCGCTGGGAGGAACGGTTTCCAGGTAGATAATGAAAGTTAGCCAGCGGAGATCGCGGCAGTTGTTGGTGTCAACATGCAGCCTCAGAGCAAGTTCTAGGGTTTAGGGTTTAGGGGTCTAGGGTCATAGGGATTGATGGTCTGTTTATGGTACCTCAGGGTTGAAGATTTCTGGCTATAACGGCTAGGGCCCAAAGCTTTCAGCTTTTTCTTCGATGCTGCTCCCTGGGCCTTGCAGGCTTTGACGTTTTTGAGGCTTGCATTCGAAAACGGCCAAAACGTTCCAGAAGACGGATGTCACGCACGGTTTGCGCGGGGGAGGCTTGGGGCTTCGGGCATGTCTGCTGCTGTGCATGGCTCAGCAACCGCACGCACAGCGTGTACGGAAGACTTCGCAGAATAAATAAAGCTAGCAGCTAGAGCTTGCCCTCCGTTCGCCTCCCCAAAATAGCCCCGATACCCTGAACTCTAAACCTTGGCAAATTCGTAATAAAAAAATTATCCGAGCACGGGAGTCTGACAATTCAGGCGCCTGTGATACAGTTTTGCATCCCTACACAAACCCGAAAAATCTTGAACCTACGGCCCCAAACCCTAAACCCTAAACCCTGAATCCTAAACCCTGAACCCTAAATCCTAAAGGCCCTATAAGAATCCTCAGGGCTCCCAAACAGCGCCTACGTTGCGGTCTAAAGTCTACAAATGTGTAGTTCTCCAGATTAGAGTCCCTTTTTAAAGCGGGTTCCTTAAAGGGATCTATAAGGGTCTCTATAAGGGTGCTTTATACAGATTCTATAAGGGTAGTTCTCCAAAGTAGGGTCCCTTGTTTAAGAGGGTTCCCTAAAGGGATCTATGAGGGTCTCTATAAGGGTGCGTTATAGGGGTTCTAGAAGGGTGGTTCTCCAAATTAGGGTCCCTGTTTCGGTCCCCAAAATAATTAGCACGGGACCTTCATAAAATGGACCCTAAAAAGGGGCCCTAATTTAGAGAACTACTCAAGTA